AGCTGTCTTAGAAGGCATGGAGAAGTATATTTCGGTGTCATCAGTATACCGATAGCACCCTGCCCCATGCCTCTGGATGATCTTTCCCAGCAGTTTCATGAAGATAGAATGGCCCCTTGTGGGATGCCACATAACAGATCTCTTTTTGAGAAGCAGATATCCCCCAAGCACGACCATCTGGAACCTGCTTGAGAGGAACAACATTTGTAAATTGGATTTATATTCTCTCCAGAAATCTCTAAGTCGTTCAGTGTGACTGTGTGGTGAACCTCCATGCAATGTTGACCATAGAGCCATACTAGACTCTGTAGATTCTCCAGTGTAAATCTATGGTCAGGTTCCCACAAAAAATTACTACTGAGTTACACTAGAGGACCTAGAGATTCCTAGAGAAGTGTAAAAAAAGAGTACCGTTTTTCATGTTTCTCCCACTTTCACAAAAGTTCTGTACCTCTAAACCCCATGAAAGAGGAGGGCCTTCTGTATGATTAAAGCTTATGTTTTAGTTCAGTTGCTAATTTTAAATAAAGATTGATCATATTGTGAGTTCAGAGAGAAAATAGCCTAGCTATTGTTGTTGTTGTTCATTCGTTCAGTCGTCTCCGACTCTTCGTGACCTCATGGACCAGCCCACGCCAGAGCTCCCTGTTGGCCGTCACCACCCCCAGCTCCTTCAAGGTCAGTCCAGTCATTTCAAGGATGCCAGCCATCCATCCATCTTGCCCTTGGTCAGCCCCTCTTCCTTTTACCTTCCACTTTCCCCAGAACAATTGTCTTCTCTAGGCTTTGCTGTCTCCTCTTAATGTGGCCAAAGTACTTCAACGTTGTCTCTAGTATCCTTCCCTCCAATGAGCAGTCGGGCTTTATTTCCTGGAGGATGGACTGGTTGGATCTTCTCGCAGTCCAAGGCACTCTCAGAACTTTCCTCCAACACCACAGCTCAAAAGCATCGATCTTCCTTCGCTCAGCCTTCCCTAAGGTCCAGCTCTCACATCCGTAGGTTACTACAGGGAATACCATGGCTTTGACTAGGCGGATCTTTGTTGCCATTCTGATGTCTCTACTCTTTACTATTTTATCGAGATTGGACATTGCTCTCCTCCCAAGAAGTAAGCGTCTTCTGATTTCCTGGCTACAGTCTGCAGAAATAAATGTATCACATCTTTTTTCTGATTAAGGACTGAGTGGGACTTCTGGAGAAACATGCTTCAACTCCAGTCTGTCAAAATCAGCACTGCAGGACTTTTATGGGATTTATACTTAGCATGCTGTAGAACATTACATTTTGTTTAATTGTTTCTTGCTTTATGTGTTTTGTGACCTGTTGCTCTCCCTGACAATTCTGATAATTTCACTCTTCCCCCACACCAAGCTGAAAAATAGAAAATATATTATTGCATTTGTGTTTTCTATTTGAAAAGCTGTTAAAATTGCACACACACACTTACAACGGAGAGTGGATTATGGGGTGCCTTTGCAAATTGCTAATCCTTCATATTTGACTGCCTGCTATTTTGGGGGCATACTGAACACATGTTCTGGTGCTGTTCAAAGGCCTGTCAGGAGTTGGGAGTTGATAGAAAGCTCTCAGTTCCACTGAAGTGGGTGGCCGAAGAGCAGGCGTTGAACAGCTGCTGTAAGTCTACTGATCTCTCCCATTTTTGTTATTATTAGGTTGCACAAAGTCTGGAACAAAAATGGTGTTGCAGTTTTTATGGAGGCAGTTGCTAAGTTTCATAGCCATGTTTTGTGAATATTCCAAAATGCTTAGTGAGTCAAAGATTCTGACTTACCCTCATCTGTTACTATAATGTTTTGAGATAGGATTCTGTTTACAGTTCTTTGCCTGAATAAGAACCCCAAGTGTTACTTTGTTGGCTGAGAGTTGGATTATGACTCCAGAGACCAGGGTTCAAAATCTTGTTCAGCCACTGGTTGTCCTTGGGCAAGTCACACACATTCTTTTAGTTCAAGAGGAAGGCAACAACACCCACCCCCCACACACAAATATTTCCAAGAAAACCCTGCAACACTTGGGCTCATCATGGGGTTGGCAATGACTTGAAGACACACAACATAAACAGTGAGATGTTATTTAAAACATCTGTGAACAGCTTGGTACACATGTAAGAACCCATTTTCCTAGTCATCCAATTCATTCATTCTATTTACCTGGCTTTCGTCCTATCACCTCTCAGTCTTCTATTTTCCAAGCTAAACAGCTCCTTGGATTCTTACTCATATGGCTTGGTTTTCAGATGTGCTAGCATTTTGGTCACTTTCCTATGGACATGTTCCTGTTTGTCAATATTCTTCTTGAATTGTGGTGCTTTGGATATAGAATTCTTGTAAGTACTCACTATCTCTGCGTTAGCAATTCAGTCTCTTGCAAAGAGATAAATCTAGAAGGCTGAGTAAACAGGTAGGAAATTGCACTCTTCCAAGTAATCGTTTCTGTATCATCACCACAAATTTATCCAAGGCAATCTAAGTAAACTGTATTATGGGTGCATCCAATACGTGCGCTGTAGACAAAGAAACATTTTAGGAGAAAGATGTGTTGGTTTTGATACCTTCTAATAATTTACAGTCAATCCTCCACATTTGTGTGGGTTAGGGATGGAAAACCTTGTGAATATGGAAAACATGCAAATATTTCCAGGAGTGCAGATGATAGTGTATATATGAGCTTAATATCATTTGGGGAGGTCCTGCTCTTGGTCCCGCCTTCTTTGCAGGCGCGACTGGTGAGGATGAGAGAGAGGGCCTTCTCAGTGGTGGCCCCCCAGCTGTGGAATTCTCTTCCTAGGGATATGAGATCAGCCCCCTCCCTCCTGACCTTTCATAGAAATGTGAAGACATGGCTCTTCAAAGAAGCCTTTGGAAACACAGTGCAATAGAATCACGGAACTTTGTGATAATGAATTTTTGAACGGCTCAGCCCATGTTTTTGGACAATGAGATTAACAGTGACAGCATTGGTTTTTATATGATTTTAAAGCTCTTTGTATGGTTTTTAATTTTGTTTTAAATGTTTTTAAGTGTATATTGTTAAGGCATTGAATGGCTGCCTGGTTGTAAGCCACCATAAGCCACCTTCGGGTTCGAGAAAGGTGGGATAGACATATTGTAAATAAATAAATAAATAAATAAATAAATAAATAAGATATTAAAACTCATTAATGAATTAGCATGTGAAAACATTTGTTGTTGTAACCCTTCTTTTTTGTGCATGATGATGAGAAAAAGGAGGAAATATTGGTACACATGTATTAGAAAGCTATGAGATAAAGGCAAAAACCTCTCTATACATATAGTTTTGCTGGGCAGAGAGGTAAATACTGATAAAAAGAATGTTTTATTTGGTTGTCATTCTCATAGGAAAAATGTTAGAAGAGAATAACTGTTCAAATAATCAATAGTTTCCAACTATTTGGAAGTTGCAAAATATATTGTATACAATTTTAGTAAATGGCTATAATGCAGGAGGGACAGCTTTTAGGTCATGCTTCCTTTATTTAGTATGAGCTAGAATAAATTAACTACTGTCTCTTATCTTCTTTATAAAAGATGCATTTCTCAGCATGTGCCATGGTGGTGCTTTCAGATATTTAAAGGCAGACATTCTGTGATCACATAGTTGGAGTAATTGGTTTCCATTTTAACTTTGAATTGTGCATGTATAAGTTAAAACAGGTGGGATTCTACCATGTTTATTGAAGAGATCTCATTCTCTCTTTCTCTCTCCTCCTCCTCTGTCCCTGATAAAATCTGTCCTTTATTATTCAACATCTGCAAGACATGGAAAAATAAGAAAATACAATTCAGTATAATGGTGCATGTGTTTATGTGTGTGAAACACAACATTTCCATACATGTTTTTTGAAATACTATGCATTCTGCATCTTCTTGTTTGATTTTTGTCATATCAGAGTTGGAGGGAAGGTCTTAGCTTCATTATATAGCTAGCACGTCTGAGAAAAAGGTATGCTAGAACTAATTTTCCTGGCAGTTTAGTACAACCTCCTTTGTACAACCAGATGTCCCTGGCTGAACACTTCCTCTCTTAGTATTTTGGCAGAGTACATTATATTGTCTAGGGAAATATTGTCTCACGCAGTCTTCCTACACCACATATGGGCAAACTTCAGCCCTCTAGATATTTTGGACTTCAGCTCCCAAAATTCCTAACAGCCAGTAAGATGGCTGGGATTTCAGGGAGTTGAAGTCCAAAACACAGATGTGACAGGAAATGGCCAGATGCTTGCAGGGAATTCTGTGGCTAGTGAGGAGTGGCGGCAGTAGCAGCAACCCATGGACAAAGGGTTGTCTCAACAAGATAGACTGGACACTTTGGACACATGGCCCCAGATTCAGCAGATACTGGTATGTGCTGGATCTGGGTCAAGTGGATCTAGGTGATTGTATTAGCCTCGGCTCCAGAGTGAAAGCCTCAGATTAATATGCCCCATCCAGGCCCGTAGCCAGGATTTCGTTTTGGGGGGGGGGGGGCTGAATTTTTTTTAGGGGGGGATTTGGGGCAGGATTTTGTTTCGGGGGGGGGGGGGGCTGAGTCTGAGTGAAAGAGGGTCTACCCTAGCAAACCTTTTGTATCGTAACCCCAATACCTCCATGCATATGGAATATATTGAGCATGGTGATCAGATCATGATATGAATAAACATAACAGTTTATATAATGTACCAGTAAGGCCTTCTCACGGACCCCCATGAGAATTTGGGGGGGCTGAAGCCCCCCGAGGCCCCCCCCCCCCCGGCTACATGCCTGGCCCCATCTAATCTTCCTTCCATCGTTTTGGGTTGTGGAAGGGGCAAGGCATCTTATAGAAGGTCTAGTTTGAGGGTTACAAGTGATGAAGGTTTGCAATGAACTTTTAGGATGAAAAGACTAATAACTGAGGGTTATTACAAGTGCTGCTACTTCTTTTATCAAATGCTTGAGAGAGCAATGTTTTACTGTTCCTGTTTTTCCTGTTTCAGATATATATATATCTTCAATAAATAATGGAAACATAAAAATCATTACTACCACCACACTGTCACAACAAACCTCAAATACTGGTTTGGATGATGGAAATCTAATGAGAGTAGCTGATGCTGTCAAGAAACAAAATAAACTAGAAGAGAATTGTAATGGAACATCCAGATTCAGGGGTAAGGTATGAATTCAGTGTTGTTGCTGATTTATTTCTATGCTATATATTGCTGTTTTTGTAAATATAAATTATTCCTGTGAGCACTAATACGCTGTTTTCTCGAGAGTGTGATTTTATCAGGTCAGAAAAGGGAGCTGCAAATAACTGTGCTGATATGTGTGTTGTTTGGGTTGTGTTAGTTATACAACCAATGACAATCAATGAAATACTAGCACTGTTTTTGGTTGGTTTTTGTACCAACAAATGTATATCTACTCTTTACTTAAAACTGCCCTACCCTTTGGGTTGTGTAGGAATACATAATCAGAGGCCTTTGGTTGTCTGACTTTAGTTCATGGATCTCAGTGCATTATATGCAGTGGGGTCTACAGCCCCCTGCACATCTGCTTATTCTTGTCATGTTATCGCTCAGTCTCAGAGATGCTGGATACTCAAGCTCAGAAGGTTTTGTGCTCTTCTCATAGGATGAATCAGCATGAATTGCCTAATCAGTAGGTTGCTGAGTGCATTTCTATATGTATTTATTTACTTATGGCATTTTTACTTCATACTTCAATGAAAAGATTTACTAGAGCAGTTTGCATGCAGTCAATAGAAAAAGATAGTTCTTGCCTTCAGGCTTATAATCTAAATCATATGCCACAAAAAGGAAAATAAGAAGGGGAGAGAAGAGGGGAAAACCAAACTCAAGCAGCAGTTCTCAAAATTCAATAATACGACTTATGATAACAAGCCGGGATGGAGACTATTATTCTGCACGTACATTGGAAAATAGTTTTAGGCTGTAATACTTGGGCATAGGCCCCATTAAACTTCAGAGCAGTCATGCCAAAATCGGATTATTAGTTTTAAGGATTTAGAAATAGAAGCAGAATATGCAACAGGCTCTTGGCAGCATGGAGCGCTGTTGTTCATTGTGCCAGCCAATCACCCATGACTTTTTCCAGGTTGCTCTATTCCATTTCTCTTCCCTGTGTCTGCACTGCCATCAGTCAATCCTTGGTCATAAGCATATGAAATACTGGAACCAGTTTAAGATTATGGACCTCATCACATTGATGAGGGGCAGTGGGGGGATTCCCCACACAACTTAGCAAATCCATGGGGCAGTGGGGGTAATCTGTTGCCCCAAGCCCCGCATCACTTGCTGCACCCCTTACCTCATTCTACTAGGTGAAGCATCGCAGTCTGACTTCCCCCTGTTGTTCTCTATGGAAGCCTCCCGTGTTTCCAGGGAAGCATCCTAGCACACTACCAGGATGCTTCCTTTACAGAGCTCCACTGGAAGTTGCTTTACGTTGTATGATGGCATCCAGTAGGCTCCAAGGAGGAAGCATCTTGGCAGCATGCTAGGATGCTCATTTTCTTCTGTGTGATGAGGCTGCCAGATAGTGATGATATAAACCACAGAGCACTGATGCACATTAAGGACTTCCTTTCATGTGTATTGTGGGAGATTGTCTGGCTGCCACAGTTTGAAGTTAGTTACAAACTGCATTAAATGGGCATTGTAGATGGGACCTCAGTCCATTTTGTTGTCACTAAGCATTCCTGGATATTTTGGAAGGTAGGCTTATATTTTCTGTTTTGGTAATATAATGGAAGGTGCTCAGAGAATGAGTTAGCTATTAGTATATATGATGGATAAGATATGTGAAATAGGGAAACAAGGTTTTATAGTTGTCGTTGTCTTTCAAGTCATTTCCAATTAGTGGTAACCTTAAGGCAGCCCTATCACTGTTTTTTTTTCTTGGCACAATTTGTTCACAGATTGTTTGGCTTTACCTTCCCTTTGAGACTGAGAGTGTGTGACTTGACTGAAGTCATCTAGTAGGTTTCCACAGCTGAGTGGGAATTTAAATCCTGGTCTCCACAGTCATAGCCCAACACTAAAACTGCTATACCATGCTGGTTTTGCTTTTGTTTTATACAAATTAAATATTCTGCTTTGGGGATTGTGTGTGTAGAAATGTCATCGCTTGAACATTAACAAAATTCTAGGTTTTATATCCAATTCCATGAAGATTAGTGTCTTTGGATTTCTGGGTCTGTGGTTTAAACAAAACCTTTGTGACCAAGGGTGCATCTACACTGTCAAATGAATGCCGTGTGACACTACTTCAACTGCCATGGCCCAGTGCTATGGAATCTTGGGAGTTGTAGTTTGACATGGTTTCAGCTATCCCTGCCAAAGAGTGCTGTGCTGCCTCACCAAACTACAGATCCCAGATTTGGCCAAAGCAATTAAAGAGGTGTCAAACTGCATTAATTCTACAGTGTACTGAAGGAGTCTGTGTGACCCATGAGATTCCATCTCTTGACAAAGGGACAAGATTCATGTAGCCTTCTACATGTTGCTGTATTGTAAGTCCAGGTTTGCTTGTCATTGTGTATGTTGACTAGGGCTGCTGGTAATTGCAGGCTAACAAAGTTTAAAAAACAAAAAAAATCCCTGATGTAGAGTCACTGTGTGATGATGGGTAAATTTAATGCTGAAGTCCTGTATGTATATACTCAGACTTAAGTTCCATTAACTTATGTGGGTGTTACTGTCATAGAGTCACATATATGATTGCAGCTTGAAGGACTGATTTAAAAACAGAATACCTTGTACAGGGACTTTATAATGTATTTATTTATCTAAGTATTTTCTTTTGGAGTAATTTAAGGCAGCATAGAACAGGAAAGCAACTGTCCAATAAAAACAACAGCAATACAGTAATTGATTGTTTTCTTATGAACATAACCTGAAATTAGGAGAGGATAATTGCCTCCTTACTGACTGGGCAAATAAAGTGGTTGTCTTGAGTACTAGTTTTCTGAGTGACGTGTTGAAATGGGTCAGACCTTGATGCATGGGACTGTACAGCAGTTTAAACTACACAGGATAAATCCTCAACTGCTGTCAGGAACATCTGACCACAATTCTCTGTGGCGGTCCAGATATGTCAGTCCAGATTCACAGTCAAAATACTTCCTTGGTTGACTCTATTAGCTCCACCTGAGCAGAAAAGCACCTAAGAGGGTAAAGACAATGATAGATCTTTCCAAGGAGAAAAATGAAAACTTTTTACTTCCTCTCAGTGAGGAAAGAAGATGACCCTCTGGAAGGAAAAGTTTGTACACCCCTGGTCTGGCTATATTGTGGAAGATTAATTTAGTACTTTTAGAGTGGTAGTTCATAGCAGAAATCTTCTCCAAAACCCCAAAAGGGAATAGGAGAGAGACCAACACATTTACTTTGTCACACACGTACTGTAGAAATGGATGTTCTTGCATTTCTTTACCTGTTTCCTCATGGGAGTTACTTTTGCCCCACCATATTGACAACCATAATGCAATCTTATAATCATGTCTATAAAGTATTCTTTTTGAAATCTGAATCCCAGCACCCCAAGGTACTGGTGAACTCCCATTGGCATTTCTTCTGACTCAGTAAAAATGATGATTATGCCAGACTCACTTCATGCTGCAAAAACATGTTTTCAGGTGCTTTGGAAGTCAATAAACAAGATATGCTTCAAATAACAGGCATGGATCTTGACTTCTGGTAACATGACTGAGATGACAAATAAATGAGTTTGATACTCCTACAAAACATGCCTATTAAAATGATTTTAAACTTCGGAATTTTAAAAATGTTAAATGTAAATTTTTGAATGTTTATAATTGTTTTTAACTGTTGTTTAATTATTGTTTGATTTGATGTTCGACATCTCATGGTTGCCTATTGTAAAGCCGCCCTGAGTCGTCCTCAGGGGTGAGAAGGATGGGGTAAAAATGCTTGAAATAAATAAATAAATAAATAAATAAATAAATAAATAAATACATGAGTTATGAAACACAAGTATTAAAATGCATGTACTATCAAAGTTTTAGTTTAGGTTGCAAAAACTGGTAGTATAATGGCAAGCTTATGTGGTCCTTGGTTACTTTAGAAGCAATTTATGGAAATGTCCAGACAGAAAAAATATTGCTCTTGACCACTGTGTTTGGTGGTGTAGTTATGCTTTATTTTCTTTTAAAAATGATGTTTCTATTCTTTGGGAAAATCTAGGTCTTTATCATGTAAGGCTGAAAAAGTAAAATTCCAGCAGGACAATTGTGCTTTTGGTCATACTGATCACACCATGCTATGTCTGTCTAGCTTCTGCTTTGTATGCTCTCTGTTAGTAATGCATGCCTTTTCAATGAAGGGTAAAACTTCTCAGTGGCTCTTGGTATTTCTACCTTTCTATTACACTAACAACTGTGTGGTAGGATCCTTCTGCTGTTGTTCAGATATGCCAACAGTCATGTTGCATCAGTGGGCATGATTCTCCTCCCGTACTCCCTCCCTTGGTCCCAAGCAAATGGTTTTATGTTTATTCTGTTTCTTTTTAAAACTTTTTACCATATTGTCACAATTGTGTCTTGCAGTAAAATTAAAAAAAGACATTTAAAAAATCAAAACTGAAAACCATGCTGGATAGGGCATAAGATGGGAAGGTAGGGTTATGGAGGCTGTGCATAAGACAGATCATGGTATCATAGATTGACAAAGCAGTGCTGTTGCGCTAATTCAGTCTCTAACCTAATCCACCAAAGTTTGCTTATTTGTAAACTGGTTTCCTTCAAAGCAGCTGTGCACAGATGTGAAAGATGTAAAATATTTTGAAAGTAATTCAAAATAGTAGTGTTTTTTTTTTACATTTAAGTCTCATCAGTCTTTCCTTTAGGAGAGGCATGCCATCTGTATTTCTGAAGAAAGGGCCATTCGTTTCTCTCTTTTTTGCCTTTTTGCTTTGTGTGTGTGTGTGTGTTTGAAGGGATGTATGGTATGTGTATACAGAAGTTTGTGTATGCCCCAAAATGCCCAAAACATACTTCATAAATTTCGGGAAGGTCTTCCTTTTTAGTTGAGGCTTGCAGCATGTGGTTCGATTTGATCATGTTCTATGCCCCCAAATTACTGCCCTTTATTCTCATTCTTCAATGAGTTGCAGAGATTAGCTCTTC